TGCGGCGGCCGCCCGGCGCCGCCCCCGCCACCGCCTCCCGGCTCCCAGCCGCTGCCGCCGATGACATCACTGCGAAGAGAAGAAAAGACGCCGCGCTGGAGCGGCCCTGCGCCCGGCCCCCTGGCCGCACACGCACCCCCGCTCTCGGGCCCTGCCGCGGTGCTCCCTCCACCCTCTGGCCCCGCTGTGTGTGCGCGTCCGCACCTGCGCGCCCGGCCGTGGGCCCCCGCCCCAAGGGCCCGGTGACCTCCAGAAGGCGACAGCTCGCGGGCCAGAGAGGGCTCGCGGGGACTCCTAACCCGCGGGCGGCGCGCACCCTTAACCGTTTGCGCCCTGCGGGGTCCATGCGCAGCCCTCTCCCGCCCCCCTCCCCAGATGTGAGAGCCCAGCCAGGCTCCTGTCATTGCCATGTCCCTTCCGCCACCCTCTCCCCTCCTACAAGGACTGGGAACCCTTTATTTATATTCTTAATTCATAAATGTTTAAATTATTAAATGCTTCCCAGAATGCTCTTTTTATTTTTGCCAGTTTTATTTCAAGAGGTGTGGGGGGAGGGGGTGCTGAAAACGAGAAATTTGCTTCTCTCCGCTAACTTGCAAGCCAATAATTACAGAACACAAATGATAATTAAATCTGTAACCAGATGGGTCTAATTTGGGGAGGAATTGATTTTCCGGGCGCTGCTGCGATCCTTGGGGGAGCGTGGACGCCCCAAGCGGCTCGCGGGTGTCACGCGTGCCCCCTGCTGGGAGGCTGGCTCCTAAGCACATGACCTTACCCGCAGAAACGCAGCTGGCTGTCGAACTAACTCTCCAGGACCAGAAAAAAACCTTAGAGCGGCTTCACTTTAAATTGATGGTGATGTTTCAAACACTGGGAGGAAGGTCAAGAAAACAGCAGAGGCTGAACTGTGTCTATGCAGATGATCGGGAAGGAAGGGCTGGGAACAGCTCAGGCCCAATAGGCCACTTGGCCAGTTCATACTTCGGCACTGTGGACATTCTCAGGGCTGGACGGAAAGAACTAAGACAAGTATATAATGCACAACGAACAAGCTTTTTCAAACAATCATCGGCGCTGGCACATACCTATACTAATCAAGGAAGTGAGCCTTTTCTTAAAAGCAGCAAGGTATACATCATGAAGGTATACATGATGTCCTTTTTCTCCATCCAGTCCCTGAGTGCTTTCCTTGTTTGCTTGCTCTGACTGCCCATGACATTTTAAAACAGCATTAGCACTCACCTATGTAGAGCTACTGTGTGCCAGGCACATGCTAATAGAGTTAATGACAAAGACTTAGAAACCATATAAAGATTTTAAAAAACAGGCTTAACTCTCCTCTGCCTTCTTCCAGAGTATTATTGCAATCATGAATTGCATTTATTTTCCAACTTCAAGTTAAGTGGTTAAACTTCCTTTCCCAATGCAAACAAAGTAATTCAAAGAGCAGTATAAATTATGGAGTATGAAGGCAGAATATTCGGTGGTGACAGCAACCACTTCCTGAGCCCCCCTGTGTCTCTGCCCAGTGCTCTCTTTTTATATCACATCACACTATCATTACTACAGCTTTATGAAGTTTCTCTCATTATCCCCATTTTACTGGGGTGAACATAAACACAAAACTGGGTTCTGCAACTCCAGGACCCACATACCTCACCCATTTTCTAGGCCACTTCCCTATATACTTTCCAGGGAACAACAATGAACAGCTCAATCAAGTATGGGGCCCAAAGACCATCAACAGAAGGGTACGGACCCAAGAGTTGTCCACTGAGACTCCTGTTTACTCTCATTACTGCTGAATTGGAAACATAATTTAAGATAGTCGTTACAATTTCAAATTTCATTAAATTTGGCCTGGTGCTTATAATCTAATAAACGACAGTAAGATTCAGCTTGACTCAATCAAATAGTCCTACAGAAAGACTGCTGTAGGCAGAGACTTTAGGTGACTAATGAACCTGGTAGCCAACTATTGTCAGAAGGGAGACCCCAAGGCCACCTACTATAACTGGTCTTAGAAGTCCCTGAACATTTAAATGCTTTATAGCTACTAGTGGCCTACTTTTACCTTGGATGTACATTAATTTAAAAAAAAGTTTATTTGGAAGGAATGCTAGAAAGTAACATTGTTTAAAGCTAGGTGTTTTTTAGGTATTTAATTGAACTGTATTAGTATCCAAGGTGGGCTTTTGGTTAAACTTAATATTTTCCCAAGTTCCTGTTACAGAGGACATGTGCTATGGAAGAGAACCCATTCTTCTATTGGGTTGGAGCCAATTAAGATTATTGTCAATGTCAGCACAGGCATGTGACCTTCCCTTCCCTCTCAAGAGACGATTTCAGCCTCACACCCAGTTCAGTTGCCTATTAATTCCTGATCCCAGGCATTGTTAGGGGTATACCCTCAGTGGCAAACCAGTAACTACCCAAAGTTCAGCTGAACTGTGATAACTTTATTGGTTAGCTTGTGGATGCTTAGGTGATAGTGTCACAAAAATGTTAAAATCTACCCCAACCTGAAGCCAGACAGGTAGATGGCTATTTACCTAGCAACCACACACTGTAAAATTTATTTTATTGAATTGGACAATTGTCTAGACTGAAAAATGCAGCAAGAAGGACTTCTATGAAGCCCATTGTATCTACTGAATGTTATCAAAGGCACTCGTTTTATCAGTGTCCTATCTATTTGCCATAAATATGGTCAAATGCTAAGAATTAAAGATGCAAGGCAGGGAAAAAATATAAACATACATGACTAAAAATTTACTCAGGATCAGAAGGCATTTTACTAACATATTATGAAATATAATGTCAGCGAGGTAATTATACTAGTTTAGGTTCCCGCAGAAACAGATCCTGAGCCAACAACTTGGGTGCAAGTAGTTTATTTGGAAAGTAATCCCATGAAGGACAAACAGAAAAGGAGAAACGGGAGGGAGAAAAGTGAATCAAAGGTTTGTAAATGAGCAACGGGGGCTCAGGTCCCCTGGTAAGCCTTGAGAAGCAATGGAACAGGTCTCAGAATCTTCTGACCAGAGGACGGGAGGCTAAGATTTATCCCCTGACTCCCATCTCCTGTGATTGAGGGTCTCCCCCGAGGGCAATGACCTCTAATTTAGTAGAGCTTAAAGTTGGAGAGCAGTAGGCACAGATCTCCTAAATGGACCACTGAGAGCAATGGTAAGAAAAGCCAATGCTGTTTCTACCCATTGGTGGCTAGACACTGATTTTTAGCTACCAGAGACACAATACTATATAAAAGCTATTGGTTCAATGTATATGCTACATTCTAACCCTGCAGGAAGTCACCCCCAAGCTTGCTTCCTGCAAGTATCATCTAGTGAGATGAATTGCTTCTCCCTTCAGTACTGTAGGGCTCTCGTGTAATCACCTTGCCACCATATCAGCGGGTTAGAATCAGTCTCTGCTGTGGGTAGCTAGGTCAGGCTTGGTGAAAAGGAACCCACAGTGTGCGTTTCTTGCATACCTCCATCCCTGCCACCATGACTGTGCTATCTATATCCTATTGTGCAGGGCACTGGGCTGGTAAGCGAAGCCTGGGCTAGCTGTACTTGGCTCCAGACACCATCTAGGCGCCTGGTTGCTGAGTGTCCCTTCTTCAGTGATGCTCTCTGAAGACTGATGTGGGACTCAAGACCCACAAGCCCGTGTCTGTACCCACAGTTACCTCCACAGGCCCCTGCCCACCTCCCTGCAACCACTCATTCCATCTTGCCCCTTCTTGACACACAAACCCAGCTACCCACAATTATTCAAGCGTCTGTGCCCAAAGAAGATGCCCAGCAAACTGCTCAAAGCTTTGCCAGTTGGAGGGCTTCCCTGGTGTTGAGCTCTAGTATGGCAGCAGTCCATATTTGATTCACACTGAATTTTCAAACAAATCCATTCGTAAACCAGGCCCATTGTCTCTCTATCAACTGGTCATTGTAAACACTCCATAATGTCACAGGAATGAGCTGAAGAGTAATGGGAGTCCAACAAACAGAGGCAGGTGACTTGGAGTTCTGGGCCATTTGTGTCAGAACATGTCCATGCCATGTCCCAAATGCACACAGTACCTGATAGGGTGGATGGCTGCAGTGCCAGCTCCACCTGATCATTTGGTGCCCGCCCCCCACCCGGCCACTGACTTTCAACTTCACCACTTTGTTTTGAAGTTAGATTGTGTAAAGAGCATAGGCTGTGGTTTATTTTTTATGCCTATTTGACAGTCTTTTCTTTTAATAAGAAAATAAGTTCACTCTGTGTACTGATTTAGCATACTGCCTGATACACTTTATTTTTTACTATTACTTCAAATAAATTATTATTTATTTTACGTTGTTGTAAACCTACTTTTGAAAAAGCAACACACATTTGCAGATCAAACTATTCTAATGTTTTGTTTTGTTTTTGCATGTATATAAATCCTAATGATAACAGACAAGGCTTGTCGGAAAACAAAACGTTTTACAAATTTGTTTTCTCCATGTGAATTTATTTTGGGGATACCAGTGAGTGTCATTCTCAATGCCCTTGACTGGATACTGTATAAAATAATGGAGCCAGGAATAGACTACTGGGCAAAAGGACTCTGTTGACTCGTTGTAAAGTCTGAAGTAAACATTGGCCTTAAAAGTGGGTGGTGCTTGACTTGTCTTTTAAAATATCCATTGAAATTTTGACCTACACTCCATGCAAAACTTTAAAAAAATTCTGTTAGAGAAGTACTTTTTGAAAAAGAACAGAAGCAGATACCCACAAATAAATATTTGGTGGCATAATTAGTTGTCTGTCATATTTTATACTGGGGCAGCAAA